ATTAAGTTCTATCTACAACATACATTTTGTTGTGGCAAAAACTATCTTTTCAAGTTGTGCGTGGCCATCATGATGCCATTAAAATGAGATATTCCACACTTAATTTTAATCACTTGGTGGAATAATTAATTAAAGTTTGTGCGTCTCACATGCGCTTTTGGATCATTCCATGTTAGTTATCCCTTATCACACGCAGTCAGACCAACTGACGGCTTCCAAGTAAGAAAACAGGATTAATGACTGGATAATTAACTAAAAATTGCAGCCCAATTGACAGGTGTTCAGACAAAAGGTTTGAGCCAACCAATCCCTGATTCTTATATGGGATAGATGCGCTGTCGTTTTTTGATGAAAATGAGACTATATTTAGATATGGATTAGCACATTAATTTTGTAGAGAAGAAAGACAAAACAAACTTTTGGTTTCATAATAGTCATATGCCTACTCGATTTTCCACTTTGGCAATGTATAAAGTGTCGCAATTTCAAACTTTATTTTGTCAAAAAGGGAAGATTTCAAACTGATCAATGTGGGACTTATCCAACGTGAGATAAGGTCACACTTTCTTGTTTGAAAATTAAAAACTAATGAGGTCTCAACATGGGTTACATGTGTTGTTGGTCTCACTTGACTAAGATTTGATGGGAACATGCAAATGAGAACATTTGCTAGCTAGAGTAATTTCGGTTTAGATCTCTCGATGTATCAATCAGAATCATTTTTCGATTAAAATTGGTTTAGACAGCGAGGAAAAATTGCTATAAATCTTATATCGATGTTTTTGAATTACGTACCGTAGTTATATATTTAGGATAATTTGATNCTTATGTCATGTAGGGCTAAAATCCATATATCCTTTCAAATCCCTAATTTAGCTAGCTTCCTAGTCCAAATTGCGGATTTAAAATTCATCAAGTCTGTTAATCGCCTTGCGAGCTTAATAGTTATGACCTAGTTATAAGTAGGGCTACAAATGAAATGAGCAGCTCGCGAGTGCTCGAGTCAAAGCTCGGCTCAAGGTCGAGTTTGACCGAACTCAGGTTGAGGTCGAGCGGCTCGAGTATGTTATCGAGTCGATCTCGACCATAGAATTTGGAAGGTCTAGCCGCTGCAGTGAATTACTAAAATACCCATTATAGATAAATATTACAATATTTTATATATTTACTTAATGGATAATTTTACTTGAAATTTGTGTCCAACTAGAGCCGAGCAATCTATCGAACATTTTGATTTTAATCGATCTCGAGCGATTGTCTTATTTTGTCGAGTCGCTCTCGATTGCCATAAATCGAGCTCGAGCAGGTAAAAAAAATTAATCTTACTCGATAAGGCCAATACTCGACTCGACTCAACTCGATCATATGCAACCCTAGTTATGAGTTGCCAGATTTACCTCACAACAATGGTTCGATTCATGAGAAGGGTTTGGCTCGCCTAGAAAACGTTTGTAATTACATTATATGCCTCATATGTAGACATAGTTTTCTTATTAAAATACATGAAAAAAATATCATTAAGGCTGATGGTAGCCTAATAGTTGAGTAGTCATTCATTATCAATAAATATGCATACATATTTTCAAATTAAAATATCATTCTATGCAAAACAATATAAATAAAATCATGTCATTTCAACCCGCTTAATGATTACGGTATATAATATAAAAATTTGGTAAATAATATATATATAAAACAAGAAAATTAAGTGCAAGTCTAGGTCTGACATCAGATCCATTGAGCAAAACAATAAATAAACCAACTTCACATTCCTTTTGTCCCTATATATAGAGTGGCTCTCTCACATACAAGGATATCATCATATTCTCCATTAGTATCTTTTGCTTCCACCAATTGTTTCAATAGCTTGAATACAATTTTTCCAAATCACTCATTGTGAAAACTAATATTGAAAAAAAAAAAAAAAATGTATGGTGTTAGCTCAAGATCTTTGTTAATCAACATGATCATTTTTTCCCTATTAATCATTTCAAGCTCGGCTTCACGTTCTCGTTTCTTGGTCGACCGAGGATCACCTGAACATGGCTATGATGGGGCACGTGGGCGTTTATTGATTCGTAAATTAGGATTTGGTGAGGCTAAGTTGGAATACTATAAGAGAAGGGCAATGTTAGTGAATATTGATCCTACGAGGGCTGCACCAGACGGACCAAATTCTCAACACCATTGATTCGAGTCGAATTATAACCCATCATTGTCTTAATTAAATAATGTATGCATGCATGAAAATCTTCATAGCTTTCAGTAGTTGGCTATGAACATTAATTGTATTTCCCCTTATTGCCAATTTGATGACATGAAGATATTTCATTATGTGTGTGTGTGTGTATTCTACCCTTTTTGTTCAAATGAAATGATCTACTCTATCTTTAATTAACATGCATACAACTAATTATTTTGTTCCACAATCTTGCAGTAAATAATAAATAAAAATAAAAAATGGTGAAACTCATTTCAATTATATATCATATTAATTGTCAGTCATTATAGCTGAACATATTCTTGAATGTGATATGGGGACATAAATTTAAAGTTTGGATATATACCAATTAAATTAATGCATCTTAAATCAATTGGAACTAATGAGTACACACACATTTGTGCCCAAATCGGGTTTCGAACCGTCGGATCATAAACGTAAGCATACATTATGTGTGTACATACGCCCGATCATAGCCCACATCGATAGTCGAATTACCTGTAAATTCGACACTTAGAGGTTTAGTTACAGATAATGGTTATGATGACAGCAATGTAATAGTCTTAAAAAAAAAAAATAATAATAATAATAATAAAATTATGTAAGGATGGTGAAGTTCTTAGGGTCAATTTTAAAACCCTTTTTATGTTTATATTTTATAAACCTCCAGGCAACCATATAAAATTGTCTCTCCCAAATATATAGTGAAAAAGTAAAAAAGAAAAAAAAATTGCTTTTTGTTTTTAGAAAAAAGATAGATTTAAAAATATGAATATATTATATGTGTAAAATAAAATATAATGATTAAAATTTATACGATATAAAAATAATATAATAGTAATTGAATATGATTATTGTTTACATTTTTATTACGTTGGGAGGTTTGTTGAAAAAATTAAGNCAAAAAAAAAACAACGCAATTCATTTATTTTCCCTTTTTTTCTCTCAAACTCATTACACTCACTTTTCAAGAAAGGAAAAATAGCTATATTCTTGTTGAAACAAAATAGACACTTGATATAAAGTTCAAAATTTTTTTATTTTTTTATTTATTTATTTATTTTTTTTTTAAGCAGCCTCTGAAATGGATATAATTGAAAACATGTTGGACTCCTCTTTCAATTTAGAAGGAGACCCATTTCAAAGAGGGTCACGGCCAATCGCCGGAAATTTAAGATGGCCGGAAAGTGGGCCTGAAAATGAACACCGGGTTCGAGGTGGCCGAGGACTTGGCTTTCTACAGAGGACGGGTCCACGTCTGGAGCTCCGCGGTTCGGCCCGACCCGAATTTCTTCTCGGCCCGCATCCAGAGGACAATCAAGCAGGTGGTGCGTTTCGTATATGATGGGCTCACTGGAGATTAAATTTCGGACAATTTGCGGCAGTTTAAGAGTGAAATTGGATTAAAGATTGCATTTTTATGTCTCCGTTTTGACATAGCTAAGTTGGGGTTTTATTCTTTCTTTTGTTATTTTCTGTGCTTTTTTTTTTAATTCGTTTATAAGGTGTTTGATATTTGTTCTGAGAGAGATTTATATTTTGGGCTGGTGATTGTGATTGAATCATTGAATATGTTCAGAGACTTGTATGGGGCAGTTTTTGTGCAATATGCGTGCATCATGCTGACATGAACATCACCTTTGGCTGGAATTAAAGAAGTTATAAATTGTTGAATAAAAAAAGTTATATGTGATTCAGGATATCATAGCTTGATAATATGAATGTCCTATTAGTTTTTGTTATTGATAATGAGGTTTGGTTCTTAATTCTTATTGATGTCTTTATTTGGTATCCTTGTTGAATTACTCCACATATAATTTATATTTTGTACCTTGACTTGAGTGTACTAACTCTGAGAGAATGGAATTTGGCATTACACAAGATTTAGGCAAAATTGTATTTTGTGCCCTTTAATTATGCTTGTGTGGCAAATGTGGACAGCTTCTTTCTGATTTGGCAAAAATGTCCTGAAACTTGTTAAAATCCGAAATTTGTGCTCAATTTACCTACAAGTTACCCGGATTTGATCGGGTTTTTCGTGTGGCAAAACAGGACAGTAACTTGTTAAAATTCGAAATTTGTGCCCAAATTGGGCACGGATTTCGGTTTTAAACAAGTTTCAGGGCATTTTTGCCAAACCAAAAAGAAGTTGTCCACATTTGCCACACACCTCTAGTTACAGGGCATAAAATGCAATTTTGCCCAAGATTTATTAGGAGATTTCATTATACATTCTTTTTTTTTATAGTAAAATATTATTTAAAATGTTTTATATGTTATGTATTTGATTGTCTTCCTTTTACTTATAGGAAAATGAAAGGTTGGAGATAAGATACATTGAGATTTACTATTCTAGAGAAAATGTACGTAGTTAGAAGATCAAAGGAGATTATTATACAAGTTGGAGGGCATCAAAAGTATGATGCAAAATCCACGTTGTAGCAAAAAAAGTAGTTGGTTTATTGGAGTATAGAGTAAATTAGTTAAGAGCAAGAGTTAGCTCATATTTCTATTTGTATTCATTGGTCGACGACATTAGCTGTATGAAAAAAGTTATGAGGGGGAGCAAGGGGATCCTTCTAAAGTCATATAGGCTCCGCATGTTTCATTGAATTTACATTGTTTTTACGCAACATATTACTCTCCCCCAAAAAAAATTCCAACTCGATTATATCATGGAGCTAAATCTTAAGGGTGTGTTTGGTTGCAACAATTGATTGAGTTTGATTAATTCACATTTGGACTTATTCACTTTATGTAGTTGATAACATTATCTAAAGTACAACAATATATTTTTGTCCCCTATATTAAATTGAATTTGCATGTTGCCAAGAAATCGATGTCTTGCTCAATTAGGTCGAATTTGGGCCGACCTATATAGGGCAGGTCTCCAGTCGGCCCCTGTAGACCCCCAGCGGGGCACAGGGCGGGCCGGGGCACGGGTTGCCATCCCTAACCACTATATAGCTGCTTGGTGCACCTTATCTTCCTTCTCTATCTAATTTCGCTCCACACAAATCTTGTAATTACGAATAGATCGTTTCACCACTGAAACCCTATCTACATTGCAATCACCTTCTTCCCCCTCCACCACCGTTGTCGGAGGTGCAGAATAACGCACACCTATGGCTAGTTCATGATTATCCTACGCAAAGCCCTATCTTTGCAGAGAAATGACGAACAATAGTCCAATTGAAACAAAAAATAGGGGTATTTACGGAGACTTGGAAGAATAAATATGATGTATTACACATCCCATGTAGGAGGTAAGATATGGTATGGTGAAAAAAATGTGATGAAAAATAGGGCTTTAGCCTATTTCAAGGGCTTAACATATTTGAACCAAACATTATAATATGTAGGAAATATTAAAAAAATTGTGTAATATCAAACCTATAACATCCAACCAAACACACCCGAAATATATTTAATATGTGAAAGTTATATATTATTATGTATATATATATATGGGTGTGTATATCTTTAACAATCACAAGCAGTCTAATGGTTAGACAGTCATACTCTTTTGACATATATACATACTTTCACACTCAAGTGTCATACTTTTGTTTATCTATGTTTTCAAGTATGATATTTAAACATGAAAGTATGTACATATATTGAAATAGTATATTTGACTAAATATTAAATAGCATAACGGAAAAAATACCGTTTTAACTTCAAATGTATCTTGTCACGAATTTAATGTATGGATAATGTTGAGTTCATTTTCTAATATCTAACACGTTAAAATTTTTGTTGTTAACATATTACACTAGGGCTAATGTTAGGCATATCTAACGGTTAAATAGACATTTTTTAACAGATATGCATACTTTCAAATTGAAATGTCATACTCTTAAAAAACTATATAAATAAAAGTATGACATTCACAATATAGGTATGAATTTTTGTTAGAAAAGTATGACTGACTCGTCTAATAATTAAGCCGCCTCGCGTAAGAATTGTTACTCTATATATATTAAGTTCTTGAATGGTTTCATTTAAACATATAGCTTCTTTTTTATGTATGAATTGATACATTGAAGAAGATCATAAGAATCAAATTTTTATTCTGTTGACATTCACCATATCCAATGTGGACCAACACTGCAATAATCAATAGTCATGTATTAAAAATCGATAACTTTCAAAAGCATAGCATTGGATATATATAGTTTTACAATCTTCAGAAACGGACAAAACTGACATGATCATTTGGGATCAAAATGGCATTAAAATGAAAATTACACTTAATTGTTTATTGTTAGACCAATTAAAGGTTTTGTGCTTCTCATGTGCATTAGATCAGCCCATGCTTCGCACGACGACCAAATGACGGCTGCTTAGTCAAAGGACAAAAATGGTGACTGGATAATTAACTAAAAACAGCAGCCCGATTGACAGGTCAGCTGGTTAGTCAATTTTATTTTGCATTTATAATTTTATAATGGCAAAAATGAATAATAAAAAAAAAAATACATGTGTGGGATATATTATCCATCGTAGATAATGTCACTTTCTTTGCTCGAAAAGTTATACGGTATAGAACAGATATTGATTTGGGAATAAATCACATGTAGCTGACCTTAATTAGTTGAGAGTACAAGAGATAAAGACTTCTTACTGTTATGGCTAGAGTAGGTATTCTGGTGTTAAATTAAACGAGTTTGACTCAGTTTAGATCAAGTTTGGCTTGTTAAGATTTGAGTTTGGCTCGACTCGTTTCATAACCGAGTCAAGCTCATTTACAACTCGTTTGGAGTTCGACTCGATAAGGCTCAAAATGAAATTTTTTACATAATTTTTTATAGTTCGACTTGTTAAACCTCGAGATCAACTCATTAAGGCTCGAACTCAGCTTATTATTAGTGATAAACGAGCCGAACTCGAGCTCAATTTCAGGCTCGTTTATTTAACGAGTCATGCCTTAGTAGGTGTAGTTAATCCTGTGTGCATGTGTACATATGCAATGAAAATATTATATATTATATGTAATGAAAATTATATTTATAAACAAAAAATATATAATATACATATCACATTTTACAAATTTGATCATTAGTAAAAGTTAACAATATAATTTTACTAAAATGTAATGAAAAATATATTTCTTTTTTTTATAAATTTAAAAAATCGTGACTAATTAATTAGTTGAACATAACTAAATTATTTTTATTATAGCAACTAATGCGTTGAGCTCGTCCAGAGTAATAATAATATCAAATAACAACTACCAATGAAAGATGTGGATAAACAATAACATGTGATATAATTGGATTAACATATATATATATATATATATATATATATATATGTGTGTGTGTGTGTGTGTGTGTAATCCATTGAGCAAAATAATAAATAAACCAACTTCACATACCTTTTGTCCCTATATATAGAGTGGCTTTCTCACATACAAGGATATCATCATATTCTCCACTAGTATCTTTTGCTTCCACCAATTGTTTCAATAGCTTGATTACAATTTTCCCAAATCACTCATAGTGAAAAAATTGAAAAAATGTATAGTGTTAGCTCAAGATCTTTGTTACTCAACATGATCATTTTTTCCCTACTCATTTCAAGCTCGGCTGCACGTTCCCGTTTCTTGGCCGACCGAGGATCACCCGAACATGGCTATGATGTGGCACGTGGCCGTTTATTGATTCGTAAATTAGGATTTGACGAGGCTAAGTTGGAATACTATCAGAGAAGGGCAATGTTATTGGATGCTGATCCTACGAGGGATGCACCGGATGGACCAAATCCTCAACACAATTGATTCGAGTCAAATTATAATAACCAATCATTGTCTAAATTAAATAATGTATGCATGCGTGAAAATCTTCATAGCTCTTAGTAGTTAGCTATGAACATTAATTGTATTGTCCCTTATTGCCAATTAATTTCTATTATATGATCATATTATCATGCATTATAGCTAAACATATTCTTGAATGTTATGTGGGGACATAAATTATAATAATGTATGCATGCGTGAAAATCTTCATAGCTCTTAGTAGTTAGCTATGAACATTAATTGTATTGTCCCTTATTGCCAATTAATTTCTATTATATGATCATATTATCATGCATTATAGCTAAACATATTCTTGAATGTTATGTGGGGACATAAATTCAAATGCATTTTAAACCAATTGGAACTAATATGTACACACTCATTTGAGCCCAAATCGAGTTTTGAGATTACCCGTTAATTCGATACTTTGAGATTTTGTTACAGATGATAGTTATGAAGACAGCAATGTCGTTCNTATGCGAGTTTGATAAATATTTTTTAAAATATACGATAATGATTTGTATTTATAATTAATTGTATTACGAGGATTGTGGAACAAAACTAAGATAAGAGGAATAATAGTTTTTATGAATATTTTTGTTTCATTTGTTATTTCAATAAATTAAATTTTGACTTATATGAAACTAACAAAATATATATATAACTTTCACAAATGCTGCCCTGCCTAGTTTGGCCGATGTTCGTTTTTGTTGGTGGAATAAGTTTTTTCAATTTAAATTGTCAATGTGTAAAAAACAAAAATAAATAAACAAAAAAAAAACAACGCAATTCATTTATTTTCCCTTTTTTTCTCTCAAACTCATTACACTCACTTTTCAAGAAAGGAAAAATAGCTATATTCTTGTTGAAACAAAATAGACACTTGATATAAAGTTCAAAATTTTTTTATTTTTTTATTTATTTATTTATTTTTTTTTTAAGCAGCCTCTGAAATGGATATAATTGAAAACATGTTGGACTCCTCTTTCAATTTAGAAGGAGACCCATTTCAAAGAGGGTCACGGCCAATCGCCGGAAATTTAAGATGGCCGGAAAGTGGGCCTGAAAATGAACACCGGGTTCGAGGTGGCCGAGGACTTGGCTTTCTACAGAGGACGGGTCCACGTCTGGAGCTCCGCGGTTCGGCCCGACCCGAATTTCTTCTCGGCCCGCATCCAGAGGACAATCAAGCAGGTGGTGCGTTTCGTATATGATGGGCTCACTGGAGATTAAATTTCGGACAATTTGCGGCAGTTTAAGAGTGAAATTGGATTAAAGATTGCATTTTTATGTCTCCGTTTTGACATAGCTAAGTTGGGGTTTTATTCTTTCTTTTGTTATTTTCTGTGCTTTTTTTTTTAATTCGTTTATAAGGTGTTTGATATTTGTTCTGAGAGAGATTTATATTTTGGGCTGGTGATTGTGATTGAATATGTTTAGAGACTTGTATGAGGCAGTGTTTGTGCAATGTGCATGCATCATGCTGATATGAACATCACATTTGGCTGGAAGCCTGGAATTAAAGAAGTTATAAATTGTTGAATAAAAAAAGTTTATATGTGATTCAGGATATCATATCTTGATAATATGAATGTGTCCGATTAGTTTCTGTTATTGATAATGAGGTTGGTTCTTATTGATATCTTTATTTGGTATCCTTATTGAATTACTCCACATATAATTTGTATTTTGTAACTTGAATGTAGTGTGAGTGGTCTCTCTCGGCGGTTGGTGGCAGGGTGGTCGTGGAGTTGCTTGTCGGCTGGGAGGAGGGCTTTCAATTCCTTTACTTTAGTTTATTGTTGTGCTTCTAGGTGTCGTTAGGTTTGTGTATGCCCAGAACCGTCTTTTGGCGCTATTGGAGTTGAGTGATTACCTTGGGTGGGCTCGATCGCTTTATGATTGCTATTCAGGGTGGATATCGAACAACTTCATTGGTGCTGCGGGAGTACGATTGTATAGTTGTGTTGTGGGTTTTGTTTTTCTGTTTTGTGTTTTTAGTTTGTTAGTCTCTTGTCTTGTGTTGGTGTTGGCGCGTTTGCTCCCGAGGGGCCGCGCGCTTTCTCCTGTAGGGGAGTGTGTAGTCTCTCATTGGGGAGTTTCATTCTCCAGGAGTGGAGTTTGTTTTATTTCGTTATGTGTCGTTTTTTGTTGTTAGTGGGTGCGTTTGTTCTAGGCGATCCTCTGGATCTGTCCTCTCACTAGATTCGGCTGTTGAGCTGTTCCTTCGGCTTTGGAGCCATTTTCTAGATGTATATATGTGGTTTTTCTTCAATAAAATTTCTATCTGACTTGAATGTAGTGTACTAACTCTGAGAGAATAGAATTTGGCATTACGCGGGATTTATTGGAAATTTTATTATACATTCTTTTCTTTAGTAAAATACTATTTTACAATGTTTTAAATGATATATATTTAATTGTCTTTCTTTTACTTGTGGGAAAATGAAGAGCTTGGAGATAAAAAGAAGGCGAGAGCCCGTGCCGTGAGATATAAGAGCACCCACAATGCTTTGAGTCTCTTTTTGCATATGTGACAAATAAATAGACTTAAGTCTATGATGACATGGACAAACCCAAGCTAAAATATCCAAAACCTATCCA